CACAACTTAGGCAGTCGTGAAATTAAAGCCTGAAACAATTCAGACCTGAACTTGATTCGAACCCATAACCTCTGCGATACCGGTGCAGTGATCTATAAACGGAGCTATCAAGCCAACTGAGAGCTGATCATATTGTGAGTTCGTTATATACCCGTCGATTGTGAAGAATGCAAAAGAATATATGAAAGAGCATATATTTGAACTGCGGAGAAAGATATGAAGGCATGATTAATCATCGCAGTTATATACAAAACTTAGGCAGTCACGGTTGTGAAATTAAAGCCTGAAAAAAATTTAGGCCTGAACGAGATTCGAACCCATGGCCTCTGCGATGCCGGTGCACTGCTCTACCAACTGAGCTATCATGCAAACTGAGAGCTGATCATATTGTGAGTTCCTTATATACCCGTCGATGGTGAATAATACAGTATAAGATGTAGTAACACTACAAGATGTAGTAACAGTAGAAGATGTAGTAACAGTGGAAGGTGTAGTAACAGTAAGAAGGTGTAGTAACTTTAGAAGGTATAGGAACAGTAGAAGGTGTAGTAACAGTTGAAGGTGCAGTAACATTAAAACGGTGTAGTAACAGTGGAAGATGTAGTCACAGTGGAAGGTGTAGTAATAGTAGAGGGWACYGTAAAAGTAGAAAGTGTAGTAACAGTAGYAGGTGTAGTAATAGTAGAAGGTGTAGAAACYGTGGAAGGTGTAGTAACAGMAGAAGATGTAGTAACAGTAGAAGGTGTAGTAATAGTGGAAGGTGTAGTAATAGTAGAAGGTTTAGTTATAGTAAGAAGGTGTAGTAACAGTAGAAGATGTAGTTACAGCGGAAGGTGTAGTAACAGTAGAAAGTGTAGTAACAGTAGAAGGTGTAGTAACAGTAGAAGATGCAGTAATAGTAGAAGGTGTTGTAACAGTAAGAAGGTGTAGTGACAGTAAGAAGGTGTAGTAACAATAGGAAGGTGTGGTAACGGTAAAATGTGTTGCAGTTGAAGGTATAATAGCAGTAGAAGGTGTAGTAACAGTAGAAGGTGTTCCAACAGTATATAAGATCTAGTAATTTTTAAAAAAGGGTGTAGTAACAGTAGAAGGTGAAATAACACTAGATGTAGTAACAGTACCAGAATGTAAAAACAGTAGCAGGTATAGCAGCACATGAAGGTGTATAATGCAATTTTAGTATATACTATAAGTAATGCAATTTTAATAATGCAATTTTAGTATACACTATAAGTCCTGAAGTTTTACCCGTGTATAAATAAAGTTAAAATAAATAAATAAATAAATAAAATAAATAAACATAGCCTTAGCGAAGCGGGCGTTCTGATTGGCTCATATGCT